GCATCTCCCTTTCATTCCAAGACTTCTCAGTACCAGACAATTTTCCTAGCCTCTCTAAAAGAAGAGGGTGAGGAAAGAGGGAATAGGACATGTCTACTGTATTCCAAACCAACTAATAGGTTTTCTTAATTTCTCACTCTTCTGTGGATGGAGATTCGCGTCTGGGAAAGTACAGGACATGGTAGAGAAATACAAGTCCACATCCAGATTTTCTTTTTAAATTCCATTGGCAAATTGTTAAGAACCACTGGTCCAGGTGATCCATAAGGCCCCTTCAAAGATGTTGGCACTGCCAGCTGTTTCTGCTGTTATGAGTTGTTCAGCTGACTAGGGGGAAGGGAAGATGACAGCCCTTTTGTTAAATAATCTCCATCTTTGTTTATGACTAAGGAGTTCTCTTCCTTAAGATTCCATGATTCTAAGACAGTTGGTCTCAACAGTTGTTTTATGCTCTGAGAGAGAGACAGAGAGAAGAAGAAGAAGCAATATGGGTAGATTTCTCAGACATGTTAAGAGCTAGCACAGCACAAAAGCTGACATCTTAGAGAGACTTGGACTCCTGAAGCCTTTGGTCTATGGGTCTGCTCTTGAACTATATGAATTCTATAGGATCAACCATGGAAGACATCAGCATCACAAAGGGAAACGGATGGTAGGAACAACTGACAGGTCAAACAAAGTGAGAAGGAAGCCAACCTCCAGCCATGTCTCTACTTTTTGTGTGAATGAGATAGTATCTTCTCCACTCTGTCCATTCTCACTCCTTGTATCGCTCTCTTTGTTTTTGCAGATTTTCCTTGACTTTTGGTGTTCATGTGGGAAGAAACAAGCGTTTCTCTGATGGACGGTGACAGGTTCTTTATGCAGATGGGACATGGCCTCCTGCCACCTTGCTCTCAGGAGATGACTGTGTGGAACTTGGTGGCCATAGGGACCCTTACATTCTGAGATGATGCCAACTTATTAGTTCTAGCCAATTATATGTTATTCTTCTATCTTTTCTTCCATCCTTAGTTTTATTCCCTGCTAATATAGAATTATTGTAGAAGATGTTATTACTGTTGCTATATATTTTATTATTTATAATTTCCAAAGGTTATTAATTGAACATTTTGTTCAAAAAATTGGGCTGACTCAAATGACAGATATTTATACTCTTTTAACAAATATTTTTGAATATTCATATCAGGCAACATTAATCTGGGATTTCTACTCCTCCATACTAACCTATAACTTTCAAGTGTTCCTTCAAGAAACATGAAATCATATTTTTTTATTTTCAAATCATAAAGTAGAAACACAAAATCACATAGTCTTGAGTAGCTTCATATTAAATTAAGAAAAAGATAGCTTGAATACACTGAGTGGTTACCGTTAAGTGTTGTAGACTCACAAAACCACCATGTTCTTTTGATTAGACCACACTCCCCATCAAAATAAAAAAAAGCATTCATTTGCATCATAATCCATAACAGAAAATTATCTTTGTAGTCCTCAGCTAAACAAGACAATGGAGACTTATTTTAATGATATTTTAGAAGAAGCAGCCACAAGATAGCCATACTTCCATGTCAAGGACCTTGTGGAATATGGCCTGAGCTAAACATTCCCGTATGTACTTCTGGTGATCCTTCTTCATGGTATTCAGCTGGTATTCCTTCTCTGGTATTATTCTTCCACTTCTTGAGATCTGCCACGAAAAAGGTAAAATGGTAAGTACAGAGGATGGTAGACCAGAAGATACAAGATTGCAGGGACTGTATGCAATAAATGGGGATGATGTGTACCAGTAACATATCCAATGTGATGCAGTGGATAGAGTGATGGGCAAGGGCTCATGAGCTATGAATTCAAATCCCTGCTCAGCCATGGAAACTCTCTCTCTCTCTCTCTCTCTCTCTCTCTCTCTCTCTCTCTCTCTCTGTGTGTGTGTGTGTGTGTGTGTGTGTGTGTGTGTGTGTGTGTGTGTGTGTGTGTGTGTGTGGAGAGAGAGAGAGAGAGAGAGAGAGAGAAACTGGTAAAACCACTCCTTAAATACTGCACTTACCTTGAAAATCCTGTAAGAGTTGCTATAAGCCCATTCTGATCTGACAGCACATAACAATGTGTACTAGCATATCCACAGGACTTTGTTACACATGCTTCTGAGACATTGGATCAAAGTACTTTAGATTAGAAAATACTGTAATAGAAACTACAAAACATCAGCATCATGTTTTGTAATAGAAACTATTCTATTACAACTATCTGTGTACTAAACAGGGGAATAGAACATGTTGGACAAGATCCAAAGATATACAACAGTTTTGTAATCCCAGTAAGCACCCTTGCATGCTTTCAGTGCAAGGCCAACTACTTTTGAAATGGAGGCACATTTCAGCAGCAGTTTGTGACATAAGAGCAGCGGTTCAAAAGACGCTGAAATAGAACAAGCGTGAAGGTAAGCCCATCTTTGAAATCTAGCCACTGTGTTTAGTTTTGTGTATAAAATTTTGTATAAGTGTGTCAGTGAAGTACAGTATATAAAATGTTGTGCTAGGTTTTGGGAGCCCCAGATTCTAATTCCTCCTGAATCATGAAGCTCTCTGGAAGACACTGGGCAAGTCAGTCTTTCTTAGCACAAGCAACCTTACAGGGTTGTTGTAAGAAATAAGTGGGAAGAGAGTTAGGTAAATCATACTGAAGTCACTGGGACACAAGTACTAATACATAATATAATGGGATAAATATAATAAATAGCAATAACTGTAGCAGCAGCAACAGGCGCATACAGTGCCAGAGATACAGTATGATTTGTCACTTCTCTCTTTAAAATGCATTGAAGTGGATGCTGGGTTAAGACCAGACCTACCATTAGCTGGAGTGAGGCAGCTGCCTCACAGAGAAACTTACTGAGAGCAAACAGCATTTGCTACTTTCTCAATGAGAGGGCCACTGGCCACTATGGCCTGGATAAGTACTTCCATCTCTGCACCCACTTTCTCATGCAGCTGAACAACTCCTTGTTGTTCTTGCTGTTGCTGCTCTACAGCCCTACATATATGGCTGTTTTTTTTCCTCCTGTTGTCATGCCTTTGAAGGTTGCCCAAGTAAACCAGGAGAGGAACAATGGCATCTACCATTTACAACAGCTGAGGTAGAACACTTATCTTCCTTGATACAGTCGTGACCAGCTGGACAATTTCCCCCACTCTACAACAAATCCGCTTTACATTGAAGTTTCTGTGATCGCTTTTGCGATCACAAAATGATGTTTTAAATGGGGTTTTTTTCGCTGTGTGATGATCAGTTCCCTGCTTTGGGAACCAATTTTCACTTTACGACGCTCAGCAAACAGCTGATTGTCGGGTTTCAAAATGTCCACCGGCTGAAGAAAATGGCTCCCCGCTGTTTTCTAGGATGGATTCCTCACTTTACAGGCACCAAAAATGGCCGCTTTATGGAGGATCTTCGCTGGACGAGCAGGTATTCAGCCCACTGGAACGCATTCAACGGTTTTCAATGCATTTCAATGGGTTTTTAAATTTCGTTTGATGATGTTTTTGCTCTACAGCGATTTCGCTGGAATGAATTAATGTCGTCAAGCGAGGCACCACTGTATTATTTTGCTTCCCTCCCCCCCATTTACTGTTCTGAACATTACCTCACATAACAAAAGAATGTAGCTGCCTACTACTACTACACTTGATCTTAGCCAAAAGGCCGAGAGTTTCTAAAGGGATTGTGGGGGTTGTGGTCCTCAAAAGCAGCTTTTCCAAGCTCTGAGTGCTTTGGAGAGGTGTCACTTCCTTCATTCTCTGCCGTCAGATCCAAAATGTCTCACAGCAATCCTGCACCCACTCCTCTTCTGGTCGTCAGTTACTGGATTTTAGGATGAACACGTGACAAAAGAGAATGTGCCTCCATCTGTCTCTGTACCCATGTGCCCATGCACTGAGATCATCATTGTTGGCCCTCCTCTGAGTACTTCTTGCCAGTGGTGGATAATAGCAATTGAGAAGGACACCATCTTAGTACACCACACTCTTTACAGAATTCTTTACAGGATTTCCTCCAGGTGAGGTTCCCCTTCCAGTTACCTCACTAACCCTGAGGTAGTAGGCAAATACCTTTCCATTCACTCAGAGTGTTATTATGATGGCAATGTATGGCAGCTGCCAGTTTTATCTAGTTTTATTGAACAGGTAATGTTTTATTTATTTGTTGTTATGGCTGTATTCTCTCCTGAATCATCCTAAGATTATTTACACTGAGAGCAGCAGATAATTATTGTTCCATCTGATGTGGGTGTCGGTACCCAAGGATAATGTGCTGCAAGACAAGCTATCTATGCCTTAACGATAATCTGGTTGCACATTATGCTCATCCAGCAGCCCCACTGAATGAGAACATTAACTGCCAACAATTCTAAAGTCACTTGTTAGCAGATGAAACTGAAGTTGCTTCTTAAAAACCACACTCAATGGAGTAACTTTCTGTGTCCCTTGTTCTTTCCCTGGGTCAAATCACATCTTAAGGCAAAACTATAATTTCCTCCTCTTATAATGTTATCCTGCCAAGTGGGCAGATCTTTCAGAGCTACATGCCCGAGACTTCAGACATGCAAACAAAGCTACGCTGTTTCCCAAACAACCAACTGCAAAGCAAAAGTGAAATTCTTATCACCAAGTTTTATAGCCCCTCTGTCTGATGAAGACTTCTAGAGAACGCAAACACTCAACTTATTTGTCACTTTTTAGTGATTTAACAAAGATGTTGTCCAACTCAGAACTCTGTTTCTAGAACTGGATAAAAAGACTACTTTTGATCTTTCTTTTTGGAAAAAGAAAGGAGACTAATTTGCTAAATGAAGACTTAGGCAAGCTGGTGATAGAATAAACAATCACTCTTTCCCTATGCTTCTAAATGCATTAACTGTATTATTTACTTGGCTCTGACTTTCTCTTTAATGACTAATCTCCCAGTTTCCTTACCTTCTCAGGTCTTATAAAAAATTAAGATACAGACAAGGGGTAAATAAGTCAGCCAGACCCCATCCTTCCACCACTGTGTGTGATTTTGCTGTTGGTGTCTAGGGTGGCTATGCATACATCCTCCCCAAAAGAGGAAAAGAATCAAATACTACAAAGAGGCTAGAAGAGAGTGAAGACTTGAATAAAATTTGTGTGTTTTTGAATATGCATTGATGCAGAATTAGAAATCATTACTTCAATTTAAAGAGAAATACAAAACATTGTACCCTATACTAGTGATAGCACTGCCTGTGTGTCTGCTCAATCTATTGTCTAGGTGTTAGCACTGAGAGAGAGCTTCAAGTTGCTACTTGTCTTCTACCGGAACACCAGTCCAGGTGTAATATGGCAGATGGTCAAGCCATCGATGAAGGGACTTGAGAATCGTCAACAGGTGGAGTTCTCAGATTAAGGTCTAAGGTTTGAACATAGACGTCCATGTACTGTATAGGCTTCTAGTTCTGACCTGAATGGCATCACTCAAGCTGTATATGACACCATTCTAGAATGTCCTTCACACCCTTAAAGAATGGCTTTTAGGTACACTTTGTAGTTCGGAGGCCTTCACTTGCCTCAGCAAATGTGGCTCTTTTAATCCCAGCCTAAAACCTGGTTTTTGTTTCCTTTGAAAAAGAACCTGTTTTTTATATAGTGCCGGAGCGTGGGCTTCAAATTATAAGGTGGAAACAAGAAATCACATAGTTTTTGATTTGCAAATTACAAAGCAGAAACACAAAATCGCATAGTCTTGAGTTATGAAGCTATTAAATCCAGCAGCACTGACAATAGTTATGAAGCTACTCAAGAACAAATCATGTCTCAAGATGGATATAACAGACGCATGCTACAGAATGGTTTAGTATCATGTTTACTGCTTAGCACCATGCAGTGATAGAAAGGATTTAATATATGCTAAAAGCTCAAACTCTGTGCCAAGATAGCAAGTATACGTAGACCTCATCAATCTATCTCATTTAAATGTCTCCAGCAGCATTTAAATGGGCTGCTGGTATATTAGTGATCGTCAGTCATGTTTATTAGGACAGAACAAAGCTTCAGTTCCCACTAACATTTCTTCATCATTCTTTTCCACTGTTAGACATCCTGAACTTACCCTGAAAATAAACCCTACTATGATTTTTCAGGATGCTCGTAATATAAGCTCTACCCCCAAAATAAGCCCTAGTTAAGTGAAACCCCACCCTCTACATTTGTGCAGCAACCAGAAGAAGATATGATTGTATTTGAATAAATGTAGATTGTTGTACATGGGGGAAAAATCCCCTGAAAATAAGCCCTAATGTGTTTTTGGAGCAAAAATTAATATAAGACCTTGTCTTATTTTCGGGGAAACACGGTAGAACAGTATTATTTGGCTTCAAATATCACTTGAAAATGCTAAATGCCTCATTAGGTGGCAGAATCCCTCCCCCCCCCATAGCTTTTATTCAAATACCTTGTGAATAAGCCTTTAAAACCCCCACTCCCATCTCATGACGATTAGCCGAATTCTCATTTATCTTTAATTTCTGTTCATGACAATATCTACACCTTAAATAGTAATTTACAGAGAAGCTGCAGTCTGTCCTCTACCAAGCAGAAGGACCTGTCCTCTTTCCTTTCTTCAACTACTTTGTCTTACAGTTAACTCTGTGCACATGTGTAAGAGATGTCCTAT